CCCCCCCCCCCCCCCCCCCAGAGATGAGATCATCGTGCACGTGCTGAGGCCCAGCGACACCCCCCTGAATCCGAACCGGAGGCTCATCTGGTGCCCTTTCATCCCCGAGGAGGGTGAGGTTGGCCCTGAGGAGATGTTCCAGACCCTGGCTCTGCTCCATGAGGACCGGGTACTTACCCCGTCCTTCATACCCCGCCGTGCTCATCTCCAGCTGGCACCGCGACCAGCATAGTCCATAATATTCACAGGAAGCTCATATCTTTTGTACATTTTTGTTTTGGGGCGTGGTGTGTGGCTTGATGATATAAGATGCTGGTACTGTAATCAGTAGGTTGCTCGTTCGAATCCCTGGGTCAGCTGAATGACTTCGGCCCCCCAAGCAAGGCCTTAACTCCCAGTTGCTCCTGGGACTATCTGACTCTGCTGTTTAAATGTTAATATTTGCCAAGTGGGGCGAGTGGTTTAATCTGCGAATATAGCAGGAGCAGGGGTCCGGGTTCGAAGGAAGCTGCACGTTCACAGCTCTCCCGTTTGCTTCCAGGCCGAGGTGTGGGATCTCGACATCCTCACGGCGAGCCAGAGCTCGTGGCCAGCGGACAGTGCCGCCCTGACAGACGGCTTCATCACGGTGCGGGGTCACCGCGCGGTGAGGACCCAGCTCCAGTGTCACTTAGCCACTCCCATCCCTTCCACATTTCCTCGTGTCCTTCACTACAAATAGCTTTCTTTGAATATTTTTGCTGGCTTGGTGTTGATTGGTGGCTAGAGTGACCCAGCTCTGTCCCCCCCAGCCAATCAGCGAGGGCGCTTTGTCCCCTGATGGGGCCATCCTCGCCACAGCCAGCCATGACGGATACCTCAAGTTCTGGCAGATTTATATCGAGGGACCCAACTCTCCGAGGTTCGTACCCGTGTCCCGGCTCCAGGTGGCGCTAGCTGCAAAGTTCTCTGATTATGAATAACACCTCTGTACCTCAGGCAGTAGTTTGAGGCTTAATTAATTTTACTTGTCTCTGCCTTGGAGTGCAGAGCTTAATCTTTTCGTGTCAAACGGTGAAATCTGTGGAGAGGTATCTCATAATTAGATCTGGGGCGATATGCCCCCTGTCCCCCCCCCTGCCCCCCCCAGGTGCTTGCTAGAATGGAAGCCCCACGACGGCAGGCCGCTGTCCTGCCTGCTCTTCTGTGACAACCACAAACAGCAGGACCCAGAGTGCGTACCCACAATGCACCGCTCCCCAGTTCCGCCTCGCCGCGTCCGGATTGACGGGGGGGTCGTGATGGTCTTAAGGGGGAGTGCCGTGAGCGGCTGCCGGGGAGGAGTGTCACCAGTGATGTGGGGATTCCTCGATGGGCCACATTTGCATCTTTCCGTCGTCTGTGATCACATGCATTTTACAGAAGCTGCATTCGAAAAATTTCCCACTTTTTTTTGGCAACCAGTGTGATCATTTTTAAGTTTGACTTGGGTTCCCTGCCACTTATATCTGCCCTGACCCCGTGCCGCCCCCCCCAGTGAGGCTCTCTCCCCACCCCCCCACCCCCAGGGTCCCATTCTGGCGTTTCCTCATCACTGGAGCCGATCAGAGCAGCGAGCTGAAGATGTGGTGCACGGTGTCCTGGACCTGTCTGCAGACCAT